GATACGGTGAGGACAGGGACAAATAACCTTCCTTTTCTTCAGGGTTGCAAACTCTTTTATCTCATTTCACCCCCGTGACCACAGGTTTGAAATGTTAATTTCTTTGCTGAAATGAGTAACCTTGAAACCGTATTCTTAAATTTTAGGACATCTCAAAAGCTGTCAAACATTCAAATAAGAAATTTGTTAAGATTGACAAGCCCCCTGTGTGCCAAAAATTACTCCAGAATGGAAAGAGGTACAGATTGGTTTGTGAGCCAGAAGCTGAAATAACTCCTGAGGTAAGTCCCTTAAACGACCCTCACTTCCTGCATTGCAGCTTCATAGAAATATGGCCCAAAAAGTCTTTTCCTGTACATTACTGCACTGTACATTAAGACCATTTTTCACATTCTATTTACCTCTTAGAGCCCTAAAATTTTGGATGAAATCCTGATGCTACAGCAGGAGAACTTTGAGGGGATTGGAGTTGGGCTCTGTCCCAATTGCTTCCTCTTTAGTTTATGTTTTGGGTAAATATTGATTTTTGAAACATTTATGTTGTGTAGGAAATTGAATTTGTTGATGGATCACTCTTGAAACTGAAGAGTTACATTGAAGTGTATGTGGAGAAACCTGATGAGTTCACCTTGTCTCTGGTTGAACTGGACTCTGATGCAACTGTGTGGAAAGCAAAACTCCGAGAACGTGAGTCTTTGGGCTTCAGGGAATCATGGAATGATTTGGAAGGGACCTTAAGGACCATCTACTTCCAACCCCCCTGCATATTACTACATATTATATTATTATGTGTATATATAATATAACTTTGCAAATTATTGCACTATAACATACAGTTCTGTTGCCTATTTTGACGTGCTGCAGCACGTTGAATAAAAGGGGAAAAAAATCTCGTTATATAAAACCTCCTCTCAGGGGTTGGAATCCACCCAACAGCTTTGGTTTGTGCCTGAGAATCATTGAAGGTTGGGCAAAAAAATTGGGAATTCATCCCTCACCTTTTGATTCCTCTGCCAACTCTTTCCAGGGGACTGGATCCATTATGATCAGAACAAAAACGAGCAGAAGAGGAGCACAGGCAGTAAGTCAGCTTGGAGATGTTGGGGTTGGGGTGGCTTGTTCTCTGTGCCCTTTCCTTGCTCCTGTAGCTCAGGAGATGTGACACAAGTGACTTCACCTCTTGCTTCCTTCTCAGGTGTCAAAAAAAGGAAACCAACCCTCAGCATTTTGGAAGAAGGGGGACTTTGTAGCAAAAAGCAAAAGACTGGTGGCACTGCAGGTACAGCCTCTCTGTGCCCTTTAAAATAACATGTGTGGGGTTTTTTGTGTCCTGTGAGAGTGAGGGGAGACCTCACTGCAGTTCCAGCTTCCTTGGGAAGAGTAGAGGAGGGGCAGGGACTGAACTCTGCTCTGGGGGGACCGGGGACAGCACCCAGGGAATGGCTGGGGCTGTGTCAGGGCAGGGTCAGGTTGGATCTCAGGAAAAGGTTCTTCCCCCAGAGGGTGGTTGGGCACTGCCCAGGCTCCCCAGGGCAGTGGGCGCAGCCCCAAGGCTGCCAGAGCTCCAGGAGGGTTTCGATGATCCTCTGGGGCACAGGGGGTGACTCTGGGGATGTTCCTGTGCAGGGCTGAGGGTTGGACTGGGTGATCCTTGTGGGTCCCTCCCAACTCAGCACATCCTGTGATCCTGTGAAACTGAGCTCACTTATTTAAAGACTTCCACAAATCACTACCTGGAATGCTCCAGGCTTGAGGAAGAGCAGTTGGAAAGCTGCCCATGGGAAGAGGACCCGGGTGTGGTGGTCAACAGTGGCTGAACATGAGCCAACATGTGCCCAGGTGGGCAAGGAGGCCGATGGCAGCTGGCTGGGATCAGGAATACTGAGGCAGCAGGACCACAGAAGTGATTTTTTTTCCCTGGGGAGGCCCCACCTCGAGTCCTGGGGGCAGTTCTGGGCCCCTCATGACAAGGACATTGAGGGGCTGGAGCGTGTCCAGGGAAGGGAACGGAGCTGGGAAGGGACTGGAGCAGCAGGAGCAGCTGAGGGAGTTGGGGGGGCTCAACCTGGAGAAAAGGAGGCTCAGGGGGGACCTTCTGGCTCTGCAACCCCCCTGACAGGAGGGGGGAGCTGGGGGGGGTCGGGCTCTGCTCCCAGGGAACAAGGGACAGGAGGAGAGGAAAGTTGTGCCAGGGAAGGTTTAGGTTGGATATTAGGAAGAATGTCCATGTCTTTTCAGATGGAATTGGAACAAAAATCCTGACGGACCAGCAGCTGATGGCGGTCGCGAAGCAGTTGGGGCGGCAGTGGAAGGAAATCGCCATCGAGTGCCTGGAGATGGAGATGAAGGACATCGAGGAGATCCAGGGCATGGAGGACGAGGTCAACATGCAAAAATTCCTGGTGCTGAGGAAGTGGAGGGACAGACAACAAAGCAATGGCACTGCAGAAGCTCTGCAGAGGAGTCTGGGTGCTAAAGGATCCTATGAGCTGGAGCTAATGCTGCAAGGTATCTCCCTCTGGGTTTGTTGAATCCCATCCCTGTTTGTTGAATCCCATCTCAGCTGTGTTTTAAGAATTCCCATCAGAGAATTCACCAACTCCCCAGTGTGTGGTTGACTGTGTAGGTCAAAATTGTCTCCCTTCCGTTATCAGGGTGATTTTCTTTTTTGTGGTGTTTTTATCGTTCCCTTCAAAAATCAAAATAAATAAAAAATAAAAAAGAAATTACAGACTGATATAAAATGAAGAATATTTCTGCACTGACTGTGTTGAGAGCACTCTCAGCAGGACCTGGCTGTCCTGGCCAAGCAGGTCAGTGTTATACACCCAGACCAATTCTTGGTCTTCTCTGGAAGTCCCAAGAGGAGATGTTTGAGTCTTTATTCTTGTGTATTTTTATTTGTTCTTATATATTCTTCTGTATTTGTGTATTTTAATTAACACCTTTCCCTGACTGATGACTTAGCAGTTCTGAGAACTGTCCCTGCCCCTGGTAGGGGGTTGGAATTTGCTGACCTTTAAGGTCCCTTCCAACCCAGACCATTCCATGATTCTATGAACCAGCCGAGGGCAACTGTCCTCAAAAACTAAATGTGGGTTTTTTTCTGCAACAGCAAAACCTTGTTCTTTTTTAATTCCTTAACTAGGACAGGAGAAAATGGCCTCAGGTTGTACCAGGGGAGGCTTAGGTTGGATATTAGGAAAAATGTCTTCATGGAATGGGTTGTGAAGCCCTGGCACGGGGTCAAGTCCCCATCCCTGGAGGGATTTAAAAGCCCTGTGGATGTGGCACTTGGGGACATGGGTTAGTGGTGACCTTGGCAGTGCTGGTTGGCCTTGATGATCTTAGAGGTCTTTCCCAACCTGATTCCATGCCTAATTCTCCCTAAAAACAACCTGGCTGTAAAGGGTGGAGAACTGTCCCTCCCAAACCTGCCTGTGCCCCAGCCTTGTGCTGCCTCGGGGGGTTTTAAGACGTTTATTATTCATCTGGAATATTTTTTTTAATGCAGTTTTAATTTACCTTGGATACTGCAGTGATTTCCAGAGCTCAGATAACTTGTGTTTGTGTTTTCCTTCCCTCAGGTTTCTCGGCTCAGTGCTGAGCTGGAAGGACCTGCAGTGGGAGCTGCCCCATCCAGCCATTCCTCTCCTCTGGGATCTTGCCGGGATTCAGGAAGGAGGATACAAAGCATCATCACTCAGAGGGAAGATTGGGCTGGATCTTCTCAAGGAATGTGAATGAAATTTTGGATATAAGCCACTTCCAAGACTTCCAGGAGCTGTGGATCCCGATATCTCCGGGCTTCACCCGCAGGGAATCCCACCACTGCCACCTCCTTTGAGCCTCTCCTAAAAGATGGGAACACTGGAAGAAACCAGGTTGAATTGTTCGCTCCAGGATCGCTACCTGGAAAAGATTTTCATTTACATCAGGGGAAAAAACAAGGGAGAAAAGTTACACAGGAACTTTCATCCCCTTAAAAAACCCCATACTGAACTGCCCGAAGCGGGAGGTACATTGGATTTCTCATGGATGTCCAAAATCAGGGAAGGATAATCCTAAGCTTGCAGACAGATTCCTTTGCATAATCACTGTGTATATATAATTCCTGTACATACTCCTGTACATTCAGTCCTTGTTAAGCTGTGGTTCTCTTCTCTAAAAACCCCAAAGACTGATTTCACAGAAGCACCACTATGTACTCCAGGCAGCTTGGAATTTTCCCTGGGAATTTCTTTGCTACTCTTCTCTGTATAGTCTGTATTTTTATGAGACAGGTTTCTTTTTTTATGTTGTATAATTTGTTTTTTATATGAGAAACTTTTTCTACTTTTTACTTGATTCATTTTAACTCGAATTAGGTGCTTAAACTACCATGGGAGGAGCCTGAATCCCTGGGAAGGCCCCCCACGTGCTACAGAATTGGAAAAGATTTGGGAATAATGTGATTTGCAGGACGAGAGCGGTGACCTGATCCGGGATTGTCTGATTTTTAAGGACGTGGGATGCTTGGGATCACTTTCCTCTGAGTGTGTTCATGAAAGAAAAAAGCAAACTTTAAAAAAAAAAAGGATTAAATGGGAACCATTGACACTATTTACATACGATTTTGGATTTATTTTTTAATTTTGGCTACTGGATGAAGCGTTGTGAGGTCATTGCCATCTCTCCAAGCCTTGATGCTTCTGCTGCTGCAGCATCTCATTCCTTCCACTAGCCCAGGTTGCTCCAAGCCCCATCCAACCCAATCCAAGATGGAAACAGGATTTTAAAATATCCCAGTTACCTTGACATGCCAGCAGTATTCCAAGTATTTTAAAAGTATTCTTATTGTATCTCCAGGAACAACAGTCACTATGATTTTTAAGCTGATTTGAATTTTATTAGGCAATAAATAGAATAAATAAGGAATATAATATATCATAAATAAATCATGGAATAGGATATCCTGAGTTGGAAGGGACCCACGAGGAAATGGATTATTATAAATAGGTCTCAACTGGGGAAAAATAAGCTGAATAAATAAAACATGATAAATTACAGTTGGTGCTAAAATCTAGCTTATTTCCTAGGAATGTAGAAGTTTAACCTGACAGTTCCAAAGGCACTGGCACAGCTCCGTAAAAAAAAAAAAGATTTATGGAAACTGTGCCTATTAAAAATTCCTTTTAACCCCCCTCCCCGAGCACGTGGCAGGGGGTCGATCCCGCTGGGCTTTTTTTTTTCTCTCCAAGGAATCCTCAGGTTGGGTGGATTTTTGCCGCTCACAGGGAGCTCTCCGGGGAGCTCAGGAAGTTCATCATCCTGGAGATGGTGAGGGAGCGGATCCGGAGGGCCTGGAGCACCCGGCACAGCCGCAGCCTCGCCGGGAATGACTCCGCTCCCGCTCCCGCCGGCGGCTCCGGAACGTTCCGGCTGCTGTCCAGGGCCTGGCACAGGGAAAGGAGTTACAACCATCCCACCCATCCCAAAAACTCCACGGGGCTTTTTTACCCCCCCCCCCCGTGGATCAAGGGTAAGATTTGGGAATAAGAGTGTGTTTGTGTAAGCGAAGCATTGGGAATATTGAATTGTGGCGTTGGTAGGCTGAGGGTGGAATTGGAATTATTTGATTATTTAATTAATATATTTAATTGTGCCGTTGGTAGGCTGAGGGTGGAATTGGAGTTATTTAATTAATATATTGAATTGTGGCATTGGTAGGCCGAGGGTGGAATTGGAATTATTTAATTAATATATTGAATTGTGGCATTGGTAGGCCGAGGGTGGAATTGGAATTATTTGATTATTTAATTAATATATTGAATT